ATAAAATCCTCGTGGCACTTAGTATTTCAGCTATTACTACACAAATTAGCGGGGCCTTCTTTGTGCATATTTATAGCTGATTCGCCAGGCAAGAAGATGACGGTGACAGTGCGTGTGATGGAGGGTGCGGGAGGGGGTTTTGAGAATTACAATTAAATGCCAGGTAGTGACATGTCCTCCTAATATTATGTGTTAAGTAATTATTAGATGTTTTAGTTGCCTGTATATTGGCCTGGTGAGTTATTGATAGGCATTAACATACCTAGGTATAAAGCTAGACGTCGCATTATGGATTGAACAATAATCTATATTTTTTCAATGTATGTGAGGTTTTCAATAATTTCTATCAACTTCGGTGTTGGGATAAAATTTTCAAGATCTAGCAAGAAATTTCAAGCAGTGGCCCCACTGGTCACTACCCAGTCATTGTCCCAACACACAAACGAGCACCCAAGTGTAGTATCTTACATGATTTAATGGAAGAATGAGAAGCCACATGCTCAGTCTTACTCAGGGCGTTTATTCATTGTTGTTGTGTACAACGTGCCTGACACATTCGTGAAGCCACAGGCCTAAACTCATTCTAACTTTGGTAAGAAGTAACATTATATATAATGTATATATAATCAATAATGGCAGCATATAGGTAGTAGGCAGCTACCAAACAGGGAGGTATTACTGCTTGGGAAGATATTGGAATCATAATGTATTGTCTAATGGTACATGTAGACCCTGCTGCCAAATGGCATCACGAAAATTGTGACCAAGTCCCAGGTTGCTGATCTGACTTTCTGCCTCATTTAAACACAATTGCAGGGTCTCAATTGTTTCTCTTACTTTGACAACACAACATACATACTGTATATTGTTTCTTTGATTTTTTTAATTTTTGTACAGTCAACCCTCACTTTACGCGGTCCCACATTCCGCGTTTCCACGTTTACACGGTGCCCTGCCAGAACCCAGGATGCTCACATTCCGCGGTGGGTGTACCCCTTTACACGGGTGAAGTATAATTTTTTTATTTAGCTCATAAAATTCATACAAATTATCCGGCCAGAATATAATTTACATTGCTGGAATTCTTACAATTTGATGATCATTTTGAATATAAACATCATAGATTTTGCATTTGACATGCAAATTTTAGTTATAATGTTTACTCTGAGTAAATATGTTATCTTTTGTGCAAAATATATGACATTTATATTCAAAATATTCCTGGTCTTCCAAGGAATCCAGCAATGTCAATTATATTATCCTAACTTTAGTCTGATTTATTATGTATTACTAAAAAGGTAAACAGTCTGGTATTTCCACACATTCATCTGGTAGGGAGGGAGGGACCGGCGACCGACCACCTGGCACCACCATGGTGTGAAGAATATTTTTTTTTTTTATTAACTGAAGATATTTGTTTAAGCTCATAAAATTCATACAAATTACCCGGCCAGAATATAATTTCCATTGCTGGAATTCTTACAATTTGATGATCATTTTGAATATAAACATCATAGATTTTGCATTAGACATACAAATTTTAGATATACTGTTTACTCTGAGTAAATATGTTATCTTTTGTGCAAAATATATGGCATTTGTATTCAAAATATTCCTGGTCTTACAAGGAATCCAGCAATGTCAATTATATTATCCTAACTTTAGTTTGAGGTATTATTTATTACTATACCTGGTTTTCCCCCCAAAATTTCTCAGAGAGGGAAGAGCCATTGAGTGTAGTGTGAAAAGAGGGGGAGGGAGTTGAGTCCATTATTTGAATGGATATTAACTTGGCGACTGTATTTCTCTATTTCTCTTAAGTATTAATTGTGTGCATGTACCATCATAAAATTAAGATGTTATTTTTACTACAACATAGGTATTGTGTTGGAAAAAGTGGAGTTTGGGGGTCAGCTGGTCTCTATTTCATTTAATCCCATGTATTATGTTATTCACTTTACGTGTTTCTCACTTTCCGCGGTACCCTGTGGGTTACATTAACCTCGTAAAGTGAGGGTTGACTGTATTTCTTTATGGTTCTTTATTATTATTATTATTATTATTATTATTATTATTATTATTATTATTATTATTATTATTATTATTATTATTATTATTATCATCATCATCATTATTATTATCATTACAGTTTTACCCCGCCTAACGCGGTTTCACTTAACGCGTTTTCGCATATACGCGGTGCCTTGCCAAAGCTGACCTTTCACTTAACGCGGATTTTTTCCACATATACGCGGTGAGTGTCCGAGACGCTATTTTTAGATTTGCCCCACCCGCCACCCTGCCTGACTGCCTGTTTTAGCTCATAAAATTCATACAAATTACCAGGCCAGAATATAATTTACATTGCTGGAATTCTTATAATTTGGTGATCATTTTGAATATAAACATCATATATTTTGCTTTAAACTTACAATTTTTAGATAAAAATTTTTCTCTAGGTAACTATGGTATCTTTTGTGCAAAATATATGACATTTATATTCAAAATATTCCTGGTCTTACAAGGAATCCAGCAATGTCAATTATATTATCCTAACTTTAGTTTGAGGTATTATTTATTAAAATTTAGTGGTTATCCCACACATCTCCTTGGGACGGTTGGTGGGGGGTGGGGGGGAGGGAGGGACCGACCGACCATCTGTTACCCTGTGAAGAATTATTATTTTTTTTTATTAACTGAAGATATTTGTTTTAGCTCATAAAATTCATACAAATTACCCGGTCAGAATATAATTTACATTGCTGGAATTCTTATAATTTGGTGATCATTTTGAATATAAACATCATATATTTTGCTTTAAACTTACAATTTTTAGATAAAATTTTTTCTCTAGGTAACTATGGTATCTTTTGTGCAAAATATATGACATTTATATTCAAAATATTCCTGGTCTTACAAGGAATCCAGCAATGTCAATTATATTATCCTAACTTTAATCTGAGGTATTATTTAATACTAAATGTTAAAAACTCTGGAAGGGAGGATTGGTGGGGGGTGGGGGGGAGGGTTGGGACTGACCGCGCGGTTGGAAGAGGGGGGGAGGCAAGGTGGGGTACTTTGATTGACAGATAGTGTCGTGAAGATTATTTTTTTTTTATTAACTGAAGATATTTGTTTTAGCTCATAAAATTCATACAAATTACCCGGTCAGAATATAATTTACATTGCTGGAATTCTTATAATTTGGTGATCATTTTGAATATAAACATCATATATTTTGCTTTAAACTTACAATTTTTAGATAAAAATTTTTCTCTAGGTAACTATGTTATCTTTTGTGCAAAATATATGACATTTATATTCAAAATATTCCTGGTCTTACAAGGAATCCAGCAATGTCAATTATATTTTCCTAACTTTAGTTTGAGGTTATCCCACACATCTCCTTGGGACGGTTGGTGGGGGGTGGGGGGGGGGAGGGAGGGACCGACCGACCATCTGTTAGCCGGCTGTGTAGTGTGAGAGGGGGAGGGAGTTGAGTCCATTATTTGAATGGACATTAACTTGGCGACTGTATTTCTCTATTTCTCTTAAGTATTAATTGTGTGCATGTACCATCATAAAATTAAGATGTTATTTTTACTACAACATAGGTATGTGCCTTCAAAAAGTGGAGTTTGGGGGTCGGGCCGGTTTCTATTGGAATTAATCCCATATGTTCTGTTGTTCACTTAACGCGGATTTCACTTAACGCGGGACCCTCTGGGTTCAATTGACCGCGTTAAGTGGGGTACAACTGTATTATTATTTTTATTATTATTATTGTTATTGTTATTATCATTTTTATTATTATTATTACATTTTCGCCCCCTAGGACCCGATGTGGGTCAGTGACCTGTGCCCAGGTGGGTTAATCCCCGTAAAAAAAAAAAATACACATATAAAACACCAAGCAGTTCAACAATCGAGCTCTGATACTTTCATTTTTCAATAGGGACTGGGAAAGGATGATATTGTTTTGTTAAATAAATTCACAAAACAATTTATCCAATCAATTTTTACGTTATTTGACATAATGTTGCACATTAACCCCTACGCCCCAGTTGACGTTCCGGAACATCCATCTAGGGCGCTCTGGTTGACGTTCCAGAATGCATGCCTTTTTGCAGCATTGTTTGAATGCCCAGCATGGGTTATCAGGTTCGAGCATGACTTTCTGCTTGTTACGCCACACGCTCAGCCACAGGAAAGCTTCCTGAACATAATTACCTTCTTTTGTTTGTTTCATTTTCATTGTTTGTCCATTTTATCATGTTGTATCAAAGTAATATTCCTAAAAGTAGTGTAGGTGTATTGTAGTGAAGTATTACTGGAAAATAATGCTATGATTATGTTATAAATGTAATTATTTGAGGAATTATTATTCCGATAATTATTTATATGTATTACTTGCTCTACCAAACACAAAGACAGCCTGGCAACAGACTGCATGTGTGTTGCCAAGCACTTTTTATGAAAAATAATGCAAATAAAATATTCTTATAGGGAAATTAATTATTTATAGGAAAAAAGTATAATGATCAGTAAATATATACATTACAGCAGAAAATGACCGCTAAGTGCGTAGTGACCTGCTATCCAGTAAGGGTGGGGGCGGACTCTACATCCTCCACCTTGACTGTGTCAAGAACTTTCGTCCGAGACTGTACCAAGTAAAATTAAATGCCTGGTGCTAAAAGGGGTTAAATATTCCAATTTGACTACCATACCCACTTTGGTGATAAGCACCAATTATAAAAATTTTACAGGGTACTGAGCTCAAAGCAAAGATCATTGGGAGGAACCACACTTTAGATTTTATGAATGTGATCTGATTTTTACAAAATTTTCCCAGCTGAATGTGACCATCTTACTCACAATCACCTTACTATAATGGTCACCTTGCTTTAATGACCACCTTACTACATATGACCACCTTAATACAAATGACCAGCCTATGCTAATTTATGCTATGCTATCTAATCTTTCCTTTTGTGCAGGAGAGAATTGTTGCACGTTGCCTGGAAAAGGGTATTGCTGTCTACTCCCCCCACACATCCTATGATGCAGTTCAGGGAGGAGTCAATGACTGGCTCATCCAGGCTTTTGGTGAGTAATAGATTTATTTATTAATTGTACTCTACCATAAAGATATAGACACTCAAATCCTGGACCCTAGGGACCAAGACTAAACCAGTTTTGAGGATTTTTTTTTATTTCCTTTGTCTTAGGTCTACTAAGGCTATAGCAAGTTTTGTTTCCACATATTGACACAAACTTAGTTAAATATTTGATTTAGTTCTTAAATAACAAAATGAAGAAACTGTCATTGCATAATTATATACTTTAAAAAAAACAATATATGCAGTCATGCGCCGGTTAATGTCCTAGATACGTTCTTGGAAATGCGACCTTAACCGAAATGGACATTGTCCGATCATCACATAAACTTTGTATTTATACTTACGTGTATGTGGAATACTATATTCGTACATATACACTTTTACTCTTAAATCACTACTGTAATGTGATACAGGTGATTAATTTTTATCTCTTGTGCAAAATACATGACGTTTATATTAAAATTATTCGCTGTTTTACAAGGATTCCAGCAACGCAGGGCAGATGGGGGAGAGGGAGGGAGGGGGCGAGCGAGCGAGAGAGGGGGCGTGGGGGGAGGGGAGGTAGTACGTTTGACAGTTGGCACAGGCCCAAGTCTAACGCGTGTATATTTATCAGTTCTTAAGTGATTAAGCTTCTCTCTTGTAAAAAGCCAGGGAAATGACCTGGGTGAATATAATTAACATTGCTGGGATTCTTGTAAGATACTGATTAATTTGAATATAAACATGCTGTAATTTGCACTAGACAAAACAATTTTAGTACCGTAATCAAATTAGTGCTTGTGCACTCCAGCTTTGCACTAAGGTCATTTATTTCTTTTACGTTTCTTTTAGTCTGGTGTGTGCATGTAAATGGATGAAAATAAACGAAGAAATTTATGTAAATCTACCCAAAAATACAGTTGAAAAACTTTTTATAAAATGTACTACAGTGTATGAGCGGGGGCTGCTACTCTTACTCCTGGGCCACCGAGGCCACCATTTGTAAGAGCGCGCACCACAAGCTGCCACCCTGTAAGGGCTTGGCACTCCTACAACTTACGTTGATACTTTGACCTGGTAGCGTGACGTGAGAGGAAGGCCCATGGGTTCGTAAATATAGTATCGAGAATTAGGGAGAGAACAACGGTGAATACTATAGGTGAATCATAGACCCACATACCAATACAATGTTTATTAAACACAAAAATGGTTACAGAAAGGACGTTGTATGCACCCAAAACAGGAACTCTTTGTACCATGCCCTCTGGCTCAATTTACTTACACCACTACTGGGTGTACACACACCAAAACGCACATAAACTCTTACCGCACCTTAGCACCAATAAAACCAGTGGCACCTGCCAGTACAACACTCAATACCCCAGGGGTAATACTCCAGGTGCCGCCCTGGGAGTCTCATCACCAAGTGACACCTTCCAGCAAACTCCGATAATTCCGGTGGACTAACACCACCACACCAACAGCCACACCGAGTTATGTACTGTACTCATCCACCAATGATAGGGCTGGCAGTTGTTTGGGGGCTTGACGATCCAGGTTCACCACAGGGGCAGGGCGTTAGGGGAATACTACCCCCTATGGGGCCCATGGGTGGTAGTGGAGCTTCTGCAATCGGGGTTCAAGGGGACACCCAACTCCACTGGACCTCAGACATCTCCCAAGACTAGTGGATGCATCATCCACGCTACAGACACGGCCTAGCCTGCATTAGGGACCTGTGGGAGGGAAGCGTGGCGGCTCACTGATGGTGTATAACAAACGTCAACGTTTCAAAGGGACATTAACTAAAGACATAAAATACATCACTCAAAGCACATCAACTACGTTACTTTAACACTTGTACAAACAAACTATAGTTAGGTCAAATCACTTACAAATGGCGAATTACAACACAGAGAAGGTGGAGTGACCTACCTGTGGGAGGTAAGCGTGGCGGCTCAATGATTCGAAAAACCAGCTGCTGCCTTCCACCCCCGCTAAAGTCAAAGATTCCACCTACTCAACCATTTCACTGAATTACGTTACTGTAACACTATGATGTTTGAAACTGAGACTACCAACTCGGTTTCATTCCCTACTATTATCTTTACCAACAATGCTCTGACTGAGCTATCAAAAGCAAGAATTAAATTGATTACAAAAGGTTGGATGGCAACAGGTCCCAACATGCAGCGCCTTGCTACAAAGGCGAGGGGCACATTTCAAAAGATTCCCTTCTGAATATTAACAAAATTCCTCAGTTAACCTCCCTACCACAATTTCACTATGATTATCAGAGTCTCTGCTAATCATAGGTGAAAAAAAAAGGTTTACAGGTTCTCGGTAGCAGAAAGAATTTACAACTACAGTCAACAAACATACGACATCTCGATGACGTCATCAAAGAAACAGGGAGAACGGAGGACATTCCCACTGGGAGACTCAGAAGGTTTTGTGGACGTGTAAGCGTAATACGGATCATTAGTTTAACAGGTAAACCGTCATTACGATCATGACAACAGTATTGTACACTAATGTACTACATTTTTTATATCTTGAGCAAAATATATGACGCTTATATTTAAATTAATCTCTGTCTTGCAAGGATTTCAGCAATGTAAATTATATTATCCTAACTTTAGTCTGAGATATTATATAAAATAAACATAAAGAAGTCACCAATCTTTTGTCTGGGAACACAAGGAGGGAAGTAGCCAGCGAGCGTCGGAAGAGGGAACAGGGGGGGGGGGAGGTGAGGTGGCAGAGTGTCTGGTGTTTGTTTATTTATTTGAGATAAGATTTGACAGTTGGTGCTGAAGGCCTGCGTTTTTATTTATCATTACTTAAGAGTGACTAAGCTCTTTTCATAATTTGCCACCCAAACAACCTGGGTGAATATAACTTACATTGCTGGGATTCTTGTAAGATAGTGATTTATTTGAATACCTGTATAAACAATCTATATTTGCAATAGATATAACAATTTTAGTACCGTAATCATTTAGTACATGTGCAATACAGGTTTGCACTTAGGCCCATTGTTAACCGAGGGACCACTGTAAACTTTTTATTTCGTAAGTAAGGAAATCAAATTAAAGTAATGTACTGTACACTACAATAGACAAAAAACAGAAACAGTAACATAGGCATTTCTTATATCTATCAAAACATGTTATGGATATATAGTTACTGTACTGTATCATTATACGCCTGGCAGCACAGTCTATAAGAATACGTGATGCATACGTGACACAAACGTGACTGTGCCCGCTCTAGGGCCATTTAGGTTCGCTACGTCCCATTATTTGAATGGTTTTTTTTTCAATTTCAATTTCAATTGTTTATTCCTTGATAGAGGAAGCAGGATCCTAGTGCTGTCACTTGGTACACCTGTACCATAACACCAGAAGTAACTGGCCAGTGTCACAAGCATATACAGTACAGTACAGTCACCCCTTGGTTATCGCACCTAATTGGGAGCCTGCCGAGTGCGTGATAACGAAAAACGCGATAACGAAAGTACAGAACCTTTGGAATTTATTCCAATTGGTTCCAGGCACCCAAGACCCAACCCCAAGTTTCCCATTTTATGACCATTTAGACCCACTAAATATATATATATTCTTATGGTAAATATCATAAACACACACATAGGCATGGCTAGGTTTATTACAAAGTGAAAAAAAGGGTACGCTCAATACTGTAGTCCACAAAACATGTAGCTATGCTTTTTTTTATTTGGTCCCCCATCATACGAGTCCGTTTTCTCTCACATCAGGACGCCTGAGACCTCCGTTTTCTCTCTTAATCTTAGAGTGCACCAGAGACTTCGTTATTCCTTAGTAATGACACAGAATTTGAAGTTGCAACCCCAATTTCAACTGGGGTTGCAATTGTTGAGGCAACTAGATATGTCTGATAACAGCAAATGTGTTATTGTCAATTTGTAGGTGAAAGATTTTATCCTCAATAGATGTAGGTTAACATTACACCTGGAGGCAAATGCTTACTAAAGCCTAAGTAAGGAAGCATATTCCTTTAACACATAATATCTGACCAGTATGGGGAGGAGCATCATGTCTCCATCAGGGGGTCGTGGAGTGGTGGTCCAGCAGGCGTCACGGAAGTGTTTTTTTTTTTTTTTTTTTCTTAAAGGATGTAGATGTATCGACGTTAGTTCGTCGGAACTGGCGATGACTGTATATACAGTCATCGCCGTTAACGCCCAACCTAACAACGCCCGTCCCCCAAAACACTTTCGTGACATCTGCTGGACCACCACTCCACGACCCCCTGACGCAGACATGATGGTCCTTCCCATACTGGTCAGATATTATGTGTAGAAGGAATATCCTTCCTTCCTTAGGCTTTAATAAGCATTTGCCTCCAGGTGTAATGTTAACCTACATCTATTGAGGATAAAATCTTTCACCTACAAATTGACAATAACACATTTGCTGTAATCAGACATATCTAGTTGCCTCAACAATTGCAACCCCAGTTGCAATTGGGGTTGCAACTTCAAATTCTGTGTCATTACTAAGGAATAACGAAGTCTCTGGTGCACTCTAAGATTAAGAGAGAAAACGGAGGTCTCAGGCGTCCTGAAGCGAGAGAAAACGGACTCCTATGATGGGGGACACAGGCACTCACACTGACAGACTTGACACTCACTTACTTGACAAGTTTTACCAACCATTAGTTGTGTACGTTATCTAGTGAATTTAGTCAATATTGTACAGTACAAGTACACTGCAATACAGTGGTCCCTCAGTTAACAATGGCTCTAAGTGCAAACCTGTTCTGTACATGTAATAAATGATTACGATACTAAAATTGGTATGCCTATTGTAAATATAGCTTGTTTATACAGGTATTCAAATAAATCACGATCTTACAAGAATCCCAGCAATGTAAGTTACATTCACCCAGGTCGAAAGCTAAGGTGCTCCGTTGTTTCCCTTTTCCCGTGTGATTTTATCAAGATTTATCTTATCCACGTTT